GGCACCCCGCAGTAGTCGACAAACCAGTGTATCTTGACTTACTGGTCTGCCCTGTACCGTAACGTGCGCCGCCGATATGGCGGATCTGATCACGTTGAGGGATCGATATGACCGACCCAATGAGACCAGGTGTGACAGATAGTTGAGGATCAGTGGGACAGGTGCAGTAAAGGGATCGGAATCCCTTTCCACACACCAATCACTCCAGGCCGACCAGGCAGAAATATAGCCTTTCCTGGTGCCGGGAGCCTATGAGTCCCATAGGAGGTCTTAGTTGATGCAATAAGTCGTGAACTGACCAGGAGCCCCTGAAGCCGTCCAGGCAACTAGTGCCAGTTGTCCTTCCATGACAAGGGAGTGGGCTTCCCCTCGAGGTCCCGTCAGAAGTAGAGGGAAGGTAGGGAGTAGTAGAGGGTCTTCGCGAGACATCTCCAGGCGATCCGGGAAATCACGGTTGGCCCTGCCTGAGGGGTGTCATGAGCAGGAGCGATATCTTGTGGGTGTGTGTGTGTATCGAAGCACCCTTGCTATTGTGGAGAATGGCTGGGTCGCGTTTGCAGGGGTTCATCCATTGCCCCGTGTCCGAAGGAAGAGTCAAAGATCGTTTTGCCAATCCAAGATTGTATGTGAAGTAATCACCATCGAAATTCCATCCTCACTTCCGCTGACAGTGGGATCCAGTGGTCGTATGAGTGACCGGTGCGTACGTATCTCACCATCAGTCGTAGTGGGCCAGGGAATAACGCTTGTATGGAGGAGGAGAGGAGGAGAGGAATCCCACAATCCGACAGCTATCCTTATAGAGGCGCTCTTTGCCGTAGACGGACGCGGAACGTAGTTCTCCAAGCCGATGTCGAAACCGAGGAGCTGGCCCGATTCAGATGGAGAAGCGATCTTTGTCTGTGTACAACAAAAAACCCATGGAGTCCCGAAAGTGAACGACAAATTTGTCTGCAAACGTAGCCTGGATTCGTAAAGAATCAGCAAGTCTTCCAGGTATACGAGGCATCGCACGCCCAAATTTACGGATGTGTGCCCTCACTGGTTACAGTAGGTTCGCGAGCACCGTGGAGTCGTAAACTGCCGTGTTTGTCCTCACCATTGGAATCAGAGGAAAACTTCGGCAGTCCAGGGCAACGGGTACTGAAAGGCGTGCGTCCTTGAGGTCCAGATGTGTAAACCAGTCGTTATCGCCTAGGAGGTCTTGTAGAAGATGAATTTCCTCCATCTTGCAGCATTTGTATACCATGTAGGAGTTCCATTGATGTAGTCTCCTGGCTTCTTCTTGACCAGGAAAAATTTGCTGGGGAAGCCTTCCCCTCCGGTGCATGTTGAATTGCGCCCCTCCTGCTGTTCCGCCAGCGTGCGTAATGGAGGTGAAGGGGCGACCTGCACGGCTGTGATAAAACTCTATGACATAGCCTTGTACTGTCTGGAGAACCCAGGTGACACTTTGGTAGTCGTCTCCCAATTCTGTAAAACAGAGACAGGTTGCCGGTCATAATATTGGAAACAGTTAGTTATGTAGGTTGACACACTAGTAGATGAAGCGGATGGGTTCCTTTGTGTAGTAGATGGGAGAAATATGAGGACTGTGTATACGATCTGGAACCTGTCGCCCAGAAGCGGCTGGTGGCTCGGTTCAGCTACCGACCAGTCCTCCCAGAAACACCTTTCCCCGTAGGGACTTGTTTTAGCGAGGTCTGGGTTTAATTTAGTGTGGTGAATAAATTCACGTGTTTCTTGAGTACTGCAATGAACACTACGTCAAATAGTAGGCCTTGTGCTTTTGGGCCGAATTCTTGTCGTTCTTAAGTCCAATAGTGTGTTGTCGATGCGGCCCAGTACAGATTTGCGTCTGTCGGCGCATAGTGCGTCATTTACGTTGCCCAGGAGGCATATCGAGCATTAAGACCATTCTTTGGAGGTGGTAGAGTTGAGTTGTGTACCCTGGGGTAACTCGGTCTTGAGGCGTGCGCATCCTTCCATCCCCCGAGGGTCGCGCAGCCAATACTGTTCGTCCAGGAACGTTCCGTCTTCGGCTACTCTTGTTTAGTGCCGCTACAGTTATCTCTGCCTCAGCTGCCGTCACAGAGTAAGGTTTCCCTAACGTACTTCGAGGAAGTGTGGGGAAGGTCTTGCCGTTCCATTTCCTCAGACGGTGAGCTGTCTTCGTGTCGCTCATCTACCATGTCCAAAGTACGTGGTGGGTAATAGTCTTCTTTGTCGGAAGATTGTGGCGGACGGGGTTTGGATTCCTGGTGCTCCGCCTATTTGGTCTGTTCGATGGGCCTCTTGCCCTTGACCTTAGTGGCAGGGGGGCTGGAGCCCTTCCCTTGCCGTTTTGACTTGAAGGCTTGTGGGCCTGAGGTCTCCATCAAGCGGTGTGGGGTAGAGTTGATAACAGAACCTTCTCCACTGAGGCCGTTACTGTGGCGTTTATCATAGCCTAGAAATCTTGGGAACGTTGAGAGTGTCCACCATGACTCGTTCCTGTCCTGTTGGGAGATAGTGTGAGGGTCAGCACGTAGGGGTGTTAGACTCCTGGTAGAACTGGGGATCACCCAGGTAAAACGGTTTGAATTGCCTGCTTTAGTATGTCTGAGAGTATGAATACTCGTGCCAAGTGTAGAGGGGTCACCTCTATTAGTTTAATCTGGCTACTGAGAGCCGTGGTGCAGGCGCGACTGACTGGTAGTGGTGTCGGTCTGGCTAGCCGGGTTCACCACAAATGTACGCCAGAGCTGTATGCACGGTTTTTAACTATACAGGCTTATTATATAGGAGCATGGGGCCTGTCTCCATAAGGTCTGCAGCCGCAGGACCCATGTCTATTAGGCTGGGTTCATCCCAGGTGGTGTGCCATGGTAACCCAGAGGACACCCATATTATAATTATTGGCACCTTACAAGCATTGCATGCATATCTGGGGGTCATCCCAGGTGGTGTGCCATGAAAAATTACCCAGAGGACACCCACGTTCAATATGTACACTAGGCACAGTAAATATACATATATGTATCCCTGTGAAGGGTACACCGCAATACACTCAGTTTTCTTAGTGATCCTGCCGTCAAATCGCATCCGGCATGGTACTGTTGCTTTAATGTAAAACTGACAGGCAGTGTTTAAACATCCATATATGTCTGTAGTAATCAGTGGTAAAGTTGAGGCGTAAGCCTCCGTGCATATGATCGGGGTTCACCCCGGGTGGTGTGCCATGGTAACCCAGAGGACACCCACATCAAAGGTAATGGCCTGTCAGTGACCTTGCATGCATATCTGGGGGGTCACCCCAGGTGGTGTGCCATGAAAAAATACCCAGAGGACACCCACATAAATTTGCACCGTCAGGTACAGTAATATAATATGACCCTCTGTAGGGTACAATAATATAATATAATATGCCCTTTGTAGGGTACAGTAACACAATATGCCCTTTGTAGGGTACAGTGATATAGTTGATCTTGTTATAGGTACAGTATATGTTTTGTATAACGACTGTGATATTGTATGGCTTCCAATAATACATAGATTGTGTGCCTGCTCAACATATAATCATCCAGTGTAAGGCACCATGAGAGATATATCCATGAGAATAAAAAAATAATAATTGTATCAATAAATGAATGTGCCCAGAGAGGGGGACCCCTGAAGGGGTTAATCCAGATGCAGGGCGCGGTGATCGGGTGATTCCTGTAGGGTATAGTAATATAGTATGACCCTGTACAGGGTATAGTAATATGGTATGACCCTGTATAGGGTATAGACCCTGAGTAAGGTACAAAGACATAATCTCCTTTAATGCCTGCATGTAAGTATTTGTTTGGCAGACACTGTTGGCAGGCACTGTGGCAAAATACATCGAAAGAATACATGGAGAAAAAAACTGAAATCCAGCTTGCACTCTCCCATTGTTCACTTGGGAGAGCATACACTTGTGGAGCCCGGCGGTCGGGTGAGTTCCCGATCCGCCGAGCGAGCAGGGAAGGCGGCCGTTGGGTATCTCGCGAGCCACGAGATGCAAGATGGCCGCCGCCCACATGTGAAGGTGCGCCGCGGATCGCGGTCGCGCGGTGCAAAACAAAGGGGATAAATGCAACACAAACGCTGACCCCAGCCTCCCTCCACCCGTCCCCATACAGTCCCCTGTGTAAGTGAAGAGCCGGTCCGCGAGGCGAGCGCGACACGGGTAGTCGCTGCGCCCGCGGATACCAGGCAGTAAGGTGGAAATAAAAAGGGGGAAAAA